TGAGGTTTCTGCCCATGGCTGCAGGTCTCACACACAGCCTGAGGGTACATTTTGTGCCACTGGTCCCAGGCCTTCAAATTACTAGTTATAGTGCTGCATCCCATGTCTTTTTATCCCTGGAATTCATGTCCTTTGAGCTATGGCCTGGTGCCTCTTATTCCTGGGAAGCTCAGGGCAGTGGCCCAGTGAGACAGCCAAGGCTGGGCTCCTCATTAGCTCTTGCTGTCCAGTAGCGGGGGACAGGGGAAACAGAGGGGTTGGGAGTCTCACCAAAGTTGCATTGTGTATGTGAGTGTGCTATGTGTAAGTGTATGTGTGTGAGTGTGTGTATGTCCCCAAGGGCCAGCGGGATAAAGCATAAGCTGAGGATATCACCTTCAGCCTTTATAGTTTTAGAAAGAAAGGAGAAGCAGTGGCTTGAGCCCTCAACATTCTGCTTAGTGGATTTTTCTCATAGAGTGCTGCCCTAGGAAGAAAAGGGGAACATTCTCTCAACTTTCATCCATATCTAGAGTGATGTGATATTCTGGCCCAAGTGATGCTGGAAAGACCATTGCATGGCTCTCTCCAGTCAAACTGCAGGGTCTTTGGGGCTGAAGAGACAGAAAGAAGCCCATTGTGCCTTCTGGACTTCCTGGCACCTTAAGTGAAACATGGAACAAAGTTTCTGGTTGTGACTGTTTTTTGAAAATTGAGGCATACCTGATCTCATACCCTAGCAGGGTTAAAACTAGTATCTCCTTGTCTCCTAGTCTCTATGTGCAAACTGAGAGGTCCTTAGAAAGTCACAGGAAGCCAGAGAGATCTATCATACTACTTCCTCTTCCTAGCACCTTCTTGTGATGGGGGCTCAGAACGTAAAAGCTTCATCCCTTTCTGTTGACTTGGTTCCACATCTCCATGAGTGAGAAGTGTGGAAACCTTCTTCAAAGCAGCCCATGGAAATATCTTCATAATGCAAACCCTGGACAGTGTCTGGAAACTCAGACCATTGTTTCTACTCATCCCCACCTCAGAAAATTGTATAATATAAGCTATTCCTCTCACTGAGGTACCCATCATCCTTTGGGGAACTCCCAATTCCCTTTGTAGCCTCTGCTCCATCTCAGGCTGAGAACCCTCATATAGGGACTAGTAATGAGGGCCCTATACAATACTTTAGCTACTTTGTTCCTTTCTTTGAGATGCACAGGGATGGCAAAACACTCACAGATTGTATAGGCCTTCTCCTCCTCATTTTCCATAAAAAATATAAGGGATATGCCCAAAGAACCGCAATCATTCTCTGTATTTCATTTCCCAGAAGGCTGTGCACAAGCCCACAGTCTGATGATATCACCCAGTCTGTACTCTGTACTTTTTTTTTCAATTATTATTATTGGGGGGGGGGCAATTGGAGTTAAATGACTTGCCCAGGGTCACACAGCTAGTAAGTGTATGAGTCCAGATTTGAATTCAGATCTTCCTGACTCCAGGGCTGGTGCTCTATCCACCATACCACCTAACTGCCCCCCCTTTTTTAGTAGGTCTAGTGACAGCCCACAGCAGAAATGTGGGTGGCAATGGAGAAGCATGCCAAAGAAAGAACCGTCCAATGAAATACAAGCAAGTGGTATGGACCTGGGGGTGCTGAGCTCTGTCATCCCATCTGAACCTGGTAGACTGTAGGTTCCTTGAGGGCAAGGACTATTTCATTTTTGTTTTTGTACCTCCAGTGCTTAGAACAGAGTCTGGCACATACAAAGTGCTGTTGATTGATTGCCTAGACTCTAGGCTATGATAATAACCTTCAAGAGGCACTAATGGAAGCTTCAGTATTAGTCTGGCCATAAGAAGTCAATTATACCAAGCCTAAAGGGAGATCTGGCTAGGCAGGATAGCTTTGTATTCTAGGCTCCAACAACACAGGGATGAGTTTGAAATGGCTGTGTCTCTCTCCTGAGAGGGATGATGAGACATTAAATGGAGAATTGACTGATATTCCCCTGAAATCTAGGGAGAAGGAAGTAATTTGTGTGTAGGTGCAAGGAATGCTTACTACCTTGTTCATTTCCTTGGGGTTTTCCTGCTATTCTGTTTTAATTAAATGCCTTTTGCTTTTTAATGCTTTTATTATATGTATGGCTTGAACTGTATGGAATGGAATGTTTTTGTTGAATAGAATTGGTGAGTTCAACTCACATTTTGAAACTGGATACTCTAACAAGACCATGAATGGTAACTGCTAAGAAAAGTGTTAGTCAGTCAACAAACACTTATTAAGTATCTACCATGTTCCAGGCCCTGTGCTAAGCACTGAGGATACAGAGAAAGGTAAAAGAATTCCTACTCTCAAGGAGCTCACAGTCCAATGGGGGACCACGTGTAATCAACTGTAGAATAAACAGGAAATAATCAAGATAGGGAAGGCATTAGAATTAAGAGGGTTAGGCTTCCTGTAGAAGGTGGAATAATAACTGGGATTTGAAGGAACCCGAAGGAGCCAGGAGAGGGAGATGAGGAGGAAGAACATTCCAGGCCCTGGGTTATTGTTACTGCTGTTTTTGTCTGTCCTTCATTCTCCAAGAGGACCTTGACTTCAGGGAGGTGATGCCATGGCATGCAAGTGAATTGGATTTAAGTGAAGGAGAGCTGTGCAAAGTCACCAGCTTACTTTCTCCTCTGGAGCCATCTCGGTCGAATGGCAGGACTGGGTCCAGCCAGCGAAAACATTCAAAGTCAGGGGGTGAAGATTTTTGTAAGAAAAAGCAGAGGCCAGTGTCACTGGATTGCTTAGTGTGTGTATATGTGTGTTGGGGGGGAGGGGAAGACTGGAAAATAGAGGGGGAGCCAAGTTAAGAAGTGATTTTAAGTGCCAACCAGCAGATTTTTGTATTTGAGCCTAGAGGTGATAGGGAGTCACTGGAGTTTATTGAGTTGGGGGCAGGGAACAACATGGTCAGAGCTTCACTTTAGGAAGATGAATCTGACTGCTGAGTGGAGGACAGGTTGGAGTGGGGTAACCAGCACACTACTGCTATAGTCTAGGCATGAGGTGAGGAAGGACTGCACCAGGCAGAAGGAGAGAAAGGGAGCCCACCTGAGGGATGTTGCAAAGGTAAAAATCAACAGCCCTTGGCAACCAATTGGATATGGGGGATGAGAGATAATGATAAGTTAAGGATAACACCTAGATTCAAGCCCGGAAAGAATAAGGAGATTTGAAAAAGGGTAGGGTTTGAGAAGAAAGATGAGTTCAGTTTGGGGCATGTTGAGTTTAAGGTGACTGCATAACATCCACTTCCAGATGTTCAATAGGTAGTTGGAGGGGCAGCTGGGTGGCTCAGTGGATAGAGCTCCAGCCTTGAAGGCAGGATGGACCTAAGTTCAAATCCAGCCTCAGACACTTGACACTTACTAGCTGTGTGACCCAGCACAAGTCACTTAACCCCACTAAAAAAAAAAAAGCAAAAAAAAATTTTTTTTTCTTTTTAAAATAGGTAGTTGGAGATGTGAGACTGGAGGTTAGGGGAGGAGTTAGGTCTGAATAAGTAGATTTGAGAATCATCAGCATAGAGATGATAACTGAATCCATGAGAGTTGATGAGATATGCAGTTGTTTTTCAGTTGTGTGACCATTTGGAGTTTGCTTGGCAAAGATACTGGAGTGGTTTGCCATTTCCTTCTCCAGCTCATTTGATGGATGAGGAAAATTGAGACAAACAGGGTTAAGTGACTCGCCCACAGTCACACAGCTAGTAAGAGTCTGAGGCCAGATTTCAACTCAAAAAGATGAATCTCTGGCCTCAGATACTTGACACTATCTAGCTGTGTAACCCTGGGAAAGTCACTTAACCCTGATTGCCTCACCAAGAAAAAAACAAAAAACAAAAAAGATAAGTCTTTCTGACTCCAGGCCAGGCACTCTCTCCATTACACCAAAGCCCAAGTGAAATGATATAGAGTGACAAGAGAAGAAGGCTGAGGGCAGAGTCCTGGGGGACACCCATCTTTAGCAGGCATGACCTAGACAAAGACCCAGCAAAGGAGACAGAGGGAAATCTTGAGCTCCTTCAAGGTGACCTTCCCCTGAACAACCTGATTACAGCCTTTTGTCAGGTGTTCTGATGCCCAGATGTTCCCTGGACAAAAAATAACTTCTGCCCTTTTAGAGAAAAGAGGTTGGGTGGGGAAAGACAGGCCAGAACCCCGTCTCACCTGTTCATGAGTTCTGGTTAGAACCTATTCAGCAAGAGAGGCAGATGATAAGAATGTCCCTGACAGGGTTGGCCCAGGGCAAAATTGCGACACAGGAGAAGTTTATCACATGTGATGTCTCCGATTCTCTTTGAGAGCCTCTCCCTTTTCTAGATCCATACCCAGTGTTTCCAGGCTACTCACTGAAGATCTAATTAAGGTTTGCCCTTTATGATAGGGTCCGGTGTTCCAAAATGTGCTCCACACTCCTGTGGAAAAACTCCCAACCCACAAGGAGGAAAGAATCAGATTAATTCATACTGAGGTAGGAATGGTGTGAATAGTTCGATGTGACCCCTCCTCCTCTTGTTTTAAAGAAGGGTCCGTGGAGAGGCAGCCTGAATGAATGGAGAGGCCATGATGTATAGTAAGTGACAAAAATGCAGTCCTGAGACTCCAGAGTATGGAGGGCGGGAGTTTGGGGACTTCACAAAGCATCATCACAGAGACTTGGGCAGACCTGACTTCCCTATAGTTCCCAAACCCAGGTACTCAGTCCATCTGATCTCCCCAAAGTCTACCTACTGAAAAACTTACTTGAGTGTCATTTGTTTGTCCAGATAAAATTCATTTTTCCTTCCTTTCAATGTTCTTGGTGATGGCAAAGGCCTCAGGACAACTGTGGAAGGAGCTCTTGGAAACAAATGCCTTATTGTCACAAAGGGAAAGAGATTAAGCCCTTGTTAGCCCCCTCTTCCATTCTAAAGTGACCATGGAAAAATGTTCTATCTTTTAGCCCCCAACTCGAACAGCAAGAACAGACATAAATATTTTGACCTTTTAATTATACTTCTCTCTCCAGACACTCAGGAAAGACACAGAAACTCCCCACAGTGACCCTCTCGTAGTTAGGGTCTCAGGTCTTCCCCTCTGTGCTCTCCTGATGGGGCAAGGGGGTGAGGGGTATGGTGCAAAGAGGGAGGGGTGTGTGTGGTGATCTGTTCACTCAGACATATTTCACTGTTCAACTTTTTGTTGTTTAAGGTTCAGCAGAAGGAAATGAAGATGAGATAAGACGCTAGTTAAGGAATAAATGCTCACTCCTTTAGGTGTGCTGTGTTGGAGAAATTACATGATCAAGTGATAAGTCATCTCATGGTGACTGGCCATGATAAATCATCTGAGGTGCCTTCCCTGGAAAATGACCTGAGATGATTTCTGAGGTCTGGCTAGGCAGAATGGCTTCGTATTCTAAGCTCCAAAAACAGAGGGATGAGCCTAACTTCTCGTGATTCCTGTTCTAATCTCAGATCCTCAATCAGTCAATAATCAATCAGTCAACCACTTATTAAGCACCTACTATGAAGTTAGGCACTCATGGCTAATGTCCTTGGACAAGTTTCTCTGGGTCTCAATTTCTTTCTCTAGACTGAGCTCTGATTCTCATGCCTAATGTCCTCCTGATTCCTGATTTGACCTCCAGATGGCAGCAGTGAGCAACATTTCCATCCCTTCAGAGACTGGCCCCTCTCCCCTTCCTCCTCCCATCTAGCTCTTTTCCTCTCCCATATCTGTATCTAGAAATGGATTTTGTCCCCCATGTCACTTTCAGAATAGGAAAACAAAGTGGCTCCTGATCTTGACATGTTCAGAAACTCTGTGTTTGTGTGTGTGTGTGTGTGTGTGTGTGTGTGTGTGTGCGCGCGCATACACACACACAAAGGGCAAAAAAGGAGCATTTTCTAGATACAGGTGATAGTTAAGTGATGTGCACCTAGGAACACCCAAGTACTCACACTGAGATGATAGAATCTGGAGAATATAATTTTTGTCCCATTTATTTTCCTAACAGAGCAAGCTACTGGAGACAGGCCCAAACTCTCAGCCAGAAAAAAATCAGGACATCTACCCCAGGACTCCTGTTGGGGAGAAAGAAGGAAATTGCATGCCTCAGTTTCCCCACCTATGGAATGAGACCAAAAAAAAATGGTATCCAAGAGGAAAGTCTCCAAGAATTGCTCTGGTTAGGTCTGATATGTATGCCCCTACACTCGTGCCTGGAATGAGTTGGGATGAAATGAGGATAGTGTCTCTTAAGGCTGGTATATCCAGGCAGGGGACTCCCCCAGTTAGAAACCTGCACTAATGTAGAGATGATAGGCTGGCAAGTGAAACTTGCCCAGTTATCTCTTAAAAGAAGGTTATGTCCTAAAGTCCCCCAGTCTCCATTTTGGGGTTCGGGGCTTGGCATGGACTGGCTGGAATGATGTTCTGTAGACCCTGTGGAAATTAGTTTTGCTGAAATTAGTGTACCTCTGGGGGAGTCTTGGGGAGGGAGTACAGCAATGCAGCTCTTCATAAGCTGGATAATAGGGTGATGGGCATCAGAAACTAAACAACAGGCCCTTTTGCCCCGCCTCTGCTAGAGATTTCTAGGGTGTTGTTTACCTTTCCTTCAGGGATGCAGCCAAAGACAGAACAGAACAGAACTGGGTCTGCTTCCCCAGCCTTCTCTAGCAGCCAAGCTGAAGGAAAACGTACCCTGTTGATGTCTTTGTAACATTAAGCACCCCAGGGTATGTTTTTCCAAAGCACAGACTAGCTCCCACCCAAAGACACCTGGTCCACATATGAAAACTGGGTCACCCACCAGGTGGAGGGAGGGATGGCCTGCCCTCCAAAGCTCCCATCAGCCTCCAGTTGGGGGCATGTTTTAGGTTCTGCTCTCAAAGTGGAGGATTCTCCCCCCTCCTCCCCTAGCATCCCCTCCACCAATCTTGGATTTTAGCCTGGAGCAGCCACACCCATTTTAACTCAAGGTATTTCTGCCCCCACAAGGCCACAGAAGGCCAGGACAAACTGTTCCCTATTTTCTCTCTTTCCCCTCTTCCAGGTTATCTAGTCTTTCCTGTGACTATCACACACACACACACACACACACACACACACACACACACTCCCTCTCTCTCTCTCTCTCTCTCTCTCTCTGTCTCTCTCTGTCTGTGTGTGTCTCTCTCTCTCTCTCTCTCTCTCTCTCTCTCACTGTTACAGAACCCAGAATGAGGCTCAGGTCTGCCTTTTTTAGAGGCATAATAGAATAGAGGCAGAAGCTACCAAGGAAGGTTAGAGGAAATCCCCAGAGAAAACTGGCTACATCACTAAGCTGCCTCTTAAATCACCAGGCTGGAGAAAGCCTAGAGAAGCTGACCTCTTTCTAAACAAAATTAACAGGACTGGAGATTTGCTTCTCAGGAGAAGCTTCAGGAAATGGTGGCTTGCTCCTGATTGATTTTTTTTTTTTTTGGAGTTTTCTTGTTGGCCTAAGTAAGACTCAGAGTTGGTCCTAACTACAACAGGTGTATTTATGCTCAAGAAGATAATTTGGGGGAGGGGGTAAGGGACGAAAGAGGACTAGGGAGGAGTGGTACACAGAAAAGGGAGGGTCAGTGAAGGCCAAGGAATTCCTTAAGGAGCTCACAGGTCTTCTTGTGCAAGACCTCCCGCAGCTTCCTGACCCGTCTGACACTAGAAGGCCCCACAAAGCTCTCTGGCCGAAGCACTGCCATGCCGCCATCCACTTCTCCCATGATGATGAGTGGCGCTTCACTGACAGTGACGTTGGGGCAGGGGCAGGCCCAGTCCATGTGCAATAAGGTGATCTCCAGCGGCTCCTGGCCCAGGAACTTCAGCCCCATCTTCTCATCCTTCAGTACCTCATCCACAGTCACGAGGGCTCGTCCAGAATCTGGCTCCTCTGTCACCTCTGACACTCTGCCAAGGATGACAAAGTCGCTCCGGCAGAAGCTTGTCACCAGCTTCTGCCGGGCCTTGCAGGACCTACAACGCTGGCTCCCCCGAGGGAAGGGGCAAGTCTCCTCACAGGCCTCTCGGCTCTCAAAGTTGTTCCCGTTGCCCCCACAGCCTCCATAGACGAACGACTGGCACTGGCCGGTCTGCCCGTTGTATGCCCAGCGAGGTGAATACGCTTTGCAGGGGCCCTGCAAGGCAGGCAGACCACACACAGCCAGGGGCCCGCTCATGCATGCCAGCATGCATGCCTCATAGGTCTCAAAGTGGTTGTGATTGTGGTAGCAATTGCCAAAGGTGAAAGTGAAGCAGTTGTTAGCCTGGGCATCGTAGTGCCAACGGGTCAGTTCTTCCCCACAGTCCTCCCCATCAGGCGGCTTCAGGCATTCATTCATGGGGAAGGCCGTCCCATTTGGCCCATGCTCTGAACCTGACACCTCCCCCTGCACCACAGACAGAGGGAAGTCAACTCGAAGGAGCCCCCCAGCATTTTTAGCCATGCAGGTATAGATGCCAGCATCCTGGGGTTGGGCATTGTAGATGACCAGTTGGGCTATGTTGGTGACAACCACATTGCCACGCACGTGGTTTGGCCGCATAACTACGTTTTCTCTGTCCTCCAGCTGTTTCTCCCACGTGATCTCTGGCCGAGGTCGGCCCACCACATCACAGAGGAAGCTCACTGTCTCCCCTACACGGACCGACTGGTGGTGAGGGTGATTGAGCAGGGCTGGGGCTGCCACATCCACCATGGGAGTTTCTGGGGAGACCGTTGTAGGGCTAAGAGTGGTCTCTGGTGGTGGGGGGCTGGTATTGGGCCAGGTGAGGTGGTAGCGGCACGTGACTACAGTGAGAGTGATGCCTTTGGAGCACGCCTCAGCATCCATGTAGCAGCGATTATAGTAAGTGAGGCCATCAGAAGCACAAGTGAAACTGGGTTCCTTCTCACATCGGTCCTTGCATTTGCAGACAGGCTGGCCATCCCAGATATCACACTCAGAGCCCTGCTGCAGGCACATGAAGTGGTCACAGGTGGCCTCCCGGGGCATGCCCACAGGGCCCTTCTTGCCCTTCACATCCATGTATCGAGCAGCCACGCAGCTCTTGGTGCCGCACACGTTGGGGCAGCATTTCTCATATGTCTCACACTCCTGGAAGGAGCCAACCAGAAGGGGGTTAGAATGTAAGGTTGGGAGAAAGGAGGGGCAGCGGGGAGAGAGAATGTAAGCATCCTGGGGGCAGGGGATATTTTATTTTTGTCTTGGGATCCCTGGCCCAGTGCCCAGCACATAGTAGATGCTTAATAACTATGAAGGAGTAGCCTAAGGTCCCTTTCAGCTCCAAATCTATGATTCTCCTAGAAGAGAATGGGAAAGGTGACCCTAAGCCCAGGGGAACAAGCTTTACAACAATTGTCCTTATCCAGGATTTGTATGGGGCTGAAATCATGGCAGGAATGAAAAGCTTCAGGTAGTACGTGGGTTACTCCATGTTCATGGGACTCACTCCCAGATTTACTTCCATAGTATGGGATTAGGAGCTCCCGCCTGCCCAGTAAGTACGATGTGTTTTTGTCAAAAACACACCATGAAATCTCTCTTTGTTTCTGCTCCAAGAGTGTGTTGCTAATTTCGAGGAATTAAACTAAGACCTGATTAATAGTGAATTCTGCTTAACTGGCTCACAGAATTTAGACTCCATGACGCTGTAAACTGTCTGTTTCCCCAGCACCCAGAACAGTAGGCACTTAATAAATGTTTGTTGAAGAATGAATAAGTAAATAAATGTATAAAACACAAATCATCCCACTCTTTAAAGAGAAAAACAGAATTGACAGCTAGAAAGATGCTAAGCCAGGCATCCAAGAATTTGTTTCTATCCCTTGAGGGGCTGCCTAAGCATTTAACTTACCTATTTTGGTAATCAATGAAATTGAGATCAATGAAATTACAGATCAACAAAATTGAGGCCTTAGGGAAAGTTGTCCATGTTATCAAGGCAGATAGGTGACTCAGTGCATAAACCATCAGACTTGGAGTCAGGAAAACTTGAGTTAAAAAACCCTGCCTTAGACACTTGCTAGCTGTATGATCCTGGGCAAGTCACTTAACATCTCTGCTCCTCGGTTTCCTCATCTACAAAATGAGGATAATCATAGCACCTACCTCCCAGGGTTATTGTGAGGATCAAATGAGATAATGTATAAAGTACTTTGTAAACCTTAAGATGGAATATAAATGCTAGCTATCATTCTTATTCTTCTTCTTATTATTATTAAGTAAATGATAGGACAGGGATGACCAGCTCTCTGACAACAGAGTGGGGTTACTTAGACAGGTCTCTGATGAAGGCTCCCATTTCTGAGAGAGAGAGAGAGAGAGAGAGAGGAAGAGAGAGAGAGAAGGAAGGAGGGAGGGAGGGGGAGAGAGAGACAGAGAGAGACAGAGAGGGAGGGAGAGAGGGAAGGAGGGGGAGAGAGAGAGAGAGAGAGAAAGAGAGAGGGGGGAGGGAGGGAGAAAGAGACAGAGAGAAAGAGAAGAAGGGAGGGAGGGAGAGAGAGACAGAGACAGAGAGAGAGACAGAGACAGAGACAGAGACCGAGAGAGAGAGAGAGACAGAGAGACAGAGAGACAGAGAGACAGAGAGACAGAGAATAACCATCCCAGAAAACAGCCATAGTAAATCCCTCCCAATAGCAAAGGTCAGGCAGGGCGTAAGCGAGGACTTACCAACCTGTATGTAATCCCCTCTGATTTTCTCTGGAGTCACGCACAGAAGGCATTAGTTTAATTCCTCGAAATTAGCAACACACTCTTGGAGCAGAAACAATCAAGAAGTTCACTGCGTGTTTTTTCTGACAATAACACATCGTACCTACTGGGCAGGCAGAGCTCCTAATCCTTCTGTGCCTTGCCTGCTATGTCCAGAAGCCAGGCCCATAAACAAGTTGCAGCCCACGTACTACCTGCAGCTTTTCATTCCTGCCTTGATTTCAGCCCTTTTGAAATGCCACTTCAGCTAAGAGGGGAAAAATACTAGTCTCTCTCCCGCCTCTTTGCAATTGGACTTCCTGGGTGGTGGAGGTGTTTTTCCCTCTTGCTGATAAGAATGGCTGTTTTGTTCTTTTGAGGGCAACAGACCTTATTAGTCCCAGACCTGCCTAAACAGAGGCATCTGTAGTGCAGTGGGAAAAGGGTTGGCCTGGAGTCAAGAGACCTGAGCTCTACACCCCAATTCTACATTGCTATTTATATGATACTTCTCTGGCCTTCTCTTTCCTTAGCTGAATTAGAAGGGTGGACTAGATAACAATAAAGATGATGCAGTGAAGAGAAAGCTGGCTTGGTAGCCACACTAGCTATGTGACCCTGGGCAAGTCACTGGTGATCTAGACAACTCTCAAAGACCATAAGTGCTGGCCTGCATTGGTAAGGGGACTTTTCTTACCAAGTAAATCCCTATGCCAGTGAAATCATAGCACTAGTCCCTATCTCCAACCTTCTTTTCTCTAAATTAGAAGTTCTTAGCCTTTTTTATGTTATGGATCCCTTTGGCAGTCTGCTAAAAACAACGGACCCCTTCTCAGAATGTGTTGCTTTTTATTTAATCAAAGTAAATGCTAAATTTCAGTTAGACATTAGTGGAAATAAAGATGTAGAAATTTTCCCCATCCAAGATCACACAGCCCTTGAAATCTATCCATGGACTCCAGGACTCCCTTGCTTTAAACAAAGGGGAGCACTGGACCCAAGATGGAAAGCTCTCAGGTTTGACAGCCCACAGTCAGCCGGGTGAGAGGGGGATCATGGAAGAAAGGGCACTGGGAGAAAAAGTAGAAGGAAGCCACTTTTTCCTTACGGTCACTGAATGTCACAGGAGGCTACCACTCAAGAATGGACCTCAGGGCTTGGAGGCCCATGAAAGGAGATTGCTGGGGTTATGCAGGCTAATGTAGGGCAGACCTAGTCCATCTGCTAAGTTTTGCTCAGAGGCCCAGGATCGAAACTAAGGTCACCATGAATCTTCAGCCACCCATGTGGCACAGTGGCAAAAGTCCTGCTTCAGGAATCTGAGGACCTAGGTTCCAATCATACTCCTGTACCTTACTGTTTATGTGATTCTGGGCCTCAGTTTCCTCATCTATAAAATGAGGGGGTTGGACTAGATGGCCTTTGAGGTCTCTTCCAATTTTAGCTCTGTGATGCTAGGTATACACACCCACGGATGGACATACAAAGTCAGCAGGGACCATGCAGTTATGGTGGATTTCTTTTGGTTCATTATATTCCATCCCTGAATACTACCTGTTTATTGGGTCAGATTGACCAAATGCAGCCCACATCCATACCAACAGAGCAAAAAAGGCTTCTTGCCCACCCACAAGCCAGGCAAGAGGTCCCCAGCCTCTGAAAATACATTTTCTCATCTCTATCTGTTATTCCTCACAGCCAACACAAAACACTTGTGTGGTTTGCAACTGACTCGTCTTGGGAATTGTTCCAACTGGGCTGGGGACTTGGGAAGTGGGAAGTCCCTGTTAGCATTCTGACTCTGTTGGCATAAGTGGAATGGTTGTAGTGAAGGAAGAGGGTTAAGGGAGGGTTGCTCTTTACCTACACCCAAAGGTCAGAAAGCGAAGCATGTTTCCCAGTGACAACACTAATTCAGACGAAGATCCGTGGATTTGGTCATAATGCCCAAGACTTCCATCTATCTGCTGACCTTGGGGTCAGCACTGGGTCAGTTGGGCTGAAATATTTTCAAAATAAATGCTAGTCAATAGTGGACAATGGTCTCTAGCTTCTGGAGCATGATATTCTGAACAGATTGAAAGGATCATAGATTTGGAACCAGAAGAGATCAGAAGTTATTTATCTAACCCTTTTATTTTGCAGTTTGGGAAACTGAGACTCAGGGAATTTCAATGAGTAGCCAAGAGTCACACAGATGGTAGTAAGAGTCAGAGGCAGGTCCCCTTACTTTAGAAAGTGTTTCCCATTGTTCCATATTGAATAATAGGGATAGGGACAGAGAATTGAGATTGTCATTTCATTGATGTGGGTTAACTTTCAGGCAAAATTTCCTCTACTAATGCAGGTTGGTACCTTCTTGATAACTTGTATTTAGACAAAGTTGCCTAGAGATCCAAGAAATTAATAAGCATTTACCTATTATGTGCTAGGCAGCTAGGAGGCACAATGGATAGAGCACTGAGCCTGGAATCAAGAAGACTCATGTTTCTGAGTTCATATCTGTCCTCAGACACTTACTAACTGTGTGACCCTAGGCAAATCACCTAGCCCTGCCTCAGTTTCCTCCTCTGTAAAATGAGCTGGAGAAGTAAATGACAATCCACTCCAGCATCTGTGCCAAGAAAACCTCAAACAGGGTCACAGAGAGTCAGACATTACTGAATAGCATACAGCTATTATGTGCCAAGCACTGTATGACTTGCCTAGGGCTAAACAACCAATATATGTATGAGGTAGGGTTTAAAACCAGGTCTTCCTGCTCTGGGCCAATTACCCACCCATTATACCATTCAGCTCCTCAGTGAATCATTGAATTAGCTGAAGGGAGGCCAAAAGGTCCCCTAGATATCATAAGATTTAGGGCTGAAAGAGAGCTTAGAAATCATTTGGCTCAATGTAGATAAGGTAACAGAGAAGAAACAATGACTTGTCCAAGGTCACACAGCTAATTAGTAGCAGAACTAAGTAGCAGTGACCAGAAGAACCCAAGTTGAACAGGTTTCATATAATTTATTGATGGAATGAGCCACATTGTTCAGTGTAGTCCAACTCTTTGTGACCCCATTTGGGGTTTTCTTGGCAAAGATACTGGAACGGTTTGCCATTTCCTTCTCGAGTCCATCCTATAGTTGAGGAAACTGAGGCAAACAGGGTCAACTGACTTGCCCAGAGTCACACAGCTAGTAAGTGTCTGAGGTCAAATTTGAATTCAGGGCTTTCTGACTCCAGGTCCTGCGCTCTATCCACTGAGCCACCTAGCTGCCCTGGAATGAGCTATAGAGATCATCTAGCACAACTTCATATTACAGTTCAGGAAACTGAGGTACAAGAGTATTTGCCTAACGTCACACGAAGAGTCCACACTCAAACTTGGGTCTTGTGACTGTGAATTCAGGGCTCTTTACCCAACAAGACTGCCTCCATACTCTATACTTCCTCATTTTTGCTATGGAAACTAACCGAGGGTTGCTAGGAGGGAATAACAACTCACATTTAACAGAACTTTAGTTTAACAAACTGCCTTTCTCACTACCCTGTGCCAGAGGCAGTGTGAATATTATCACCCCCATTTTACTGTTTAAGAAACTAAGGTTCAGAGAAACAGTGACTTGCCTAGGGTCACAAAGCTAGGAAGTGGTAAGTAAGAATCAAGAGTCAAGTTCTGGTCTCCCGGTTCCAAGTACTAGCCTCTTTCCATCGCCTTACTTTTGGTTTCAGAAATTGACCTGTGCTGGAAAGGAAGCCAAGGCGCTCCCCCAGAACGATCCCCCTCAAAAACTGCAGCGGCAGCAAGGGGCTTTTTTTGTTGTTGTTGTTGTTTTTTTTTTTTTTTGACCTCGGTGCTGTTCTGCCTCCCACCACTTACTCACTAATTATTGGCTACATCTTTTCCCGGACTCCACTAGACATTGGGTGGAGGCAAGCAGCTGCAGGCAGAGAGGTTCCAACATTGGTCAGGACCCAATGGATAAGCATCTTTCTGGGAGATAGAGAAGGGCCTTTCCCATTTCTCCCCAACTTTCCAAAGTTCGTGTCAAAAAAAAAAATCATGAAACCATCTAACCTGGGCTATCTTCAGGGTGGACAACGTCACCAAGCCACGTTCAAATCTGGCTGAGCCACACGTATATAAATTATCTGTGGCCAATGTTTCCATCCATTAGGCTTCCCTGCTCCCCAGGATATTGATGGGCTTCTTCCCCCATCCCGACTCTCAGACTCACCTGGTCCGTTTCACATTCCCGCTTGCAGGTGCTCTGAGCGTCAACCCAGAGATTGGGGTTCATGTCGTTGGGGCAGATCCCAGCGTGAGAATACCGAATAGGAGGCAGTGCCTGGCCCACGGGTGGCATCTCCAGGAGCAGCAAGGCAGCTAGAGGTCCCCAACAGACCCACAAGCGCCAAGACCACATGGTCCCCTCGCAGAGGCTTCTCCAAGGGGGAAAAAAAATCTTCCCCCCAGCTAGAGCTGGCCTAGCACCCACCCTGGATTTCAATTCTTTTCCTCCAAGGGACTGGGATACACCTGCCCCTCCCAACCCCAGCGAGGCTTTCCCACTGCCCCGGAGTCAGACTATGCTGCCCAGCTTTCTACCGTCCAGATGAAAAGGTTTCGGGAGCAATCCGCCCCCACCCCACCCCTTAATTTGAAGAGAAAGCAGCTTCCCTGGAGGCCCCACAGCAAGTTGGAGAGAGCAGCTTCGATGCCTGTGATCGACGAGCTGCTGCGCTGCCTCTGCCCCGTTGCCGACCCACAGACTTGTTGCAAAAAAAAAAAAAAAAAGAAGAAAAAGAAAAAAAAGGAAGGGGGGGGGAGCTGGAAACAGTTTAGGCGTCTGTATCTGGCACCGTGGGACACCTGCATGTTTCTGAGCTCAGGGAGGCCTTTAACCCTTTCCCGCGCCGGGAATGGCATGTACTTCCGAGGGGGAGGTTGGCTCGGGACAAGACCACGGGAGGGAAGGGATTTTTTTACCCCCCACTTCGCTTCCCCCCCCCTTGCAATACCCCTGCCCCTCCCCAGGGCCTCTCTCTCCAGTCCCAACCCACCCTCCTTCCTCTCTCCTTTACCACCTCCGAAGGAAAGCGAGAACACACAATCGCTTGTTATAGGGAGGGATCCGCTCAGCCCCGGCGGTACCCCCTCCTTCCCCCCCCATCCCCACCCCCACCCCCACCCCCACCCTCACCCCGGCGGCCGGGCGGGCCCTGATAACACATTGGAGAGCAAATGACGTGGAAAAACAACAGGCTCGTTCACTGCTTGCTGCTGCCTGAACGCCCTCCCAGCCCGAGGGAAGCTGAGGCCGAGAGGCCGCCCGGGAACCTGACCAAGCAACCCTAGAAGCAGCAGCAGCAGCAGTGCTGCGTGTCCCCAGCTAGGAGCCTCACCACTACTCCCCTTCCCCCAACTCCTCGCGAGCCCGAGTACTGGGCCCTGGGCCCACGGCGGGAGTGCCTGGGTCACACAATTGCTCCCCGAGGTCCCAACTTGGCCCCCAACACCTAGAGAATCAATATCAGAGAAGTTGGGGTGCGGACAATGAGGAAGGGCTCTGGCTCCCCCCCTCCCGCATCCCCACCCCCACCCCCCCTTGGCTCTCCGGTAGTAGGGGTGGTGGGTCTGGGGCAGTTCGAGGCTTATCACATTCCTCCACATACAGTTCTGAGGTTGAATGAAAACCACACAGCCAGAGGTGTAGAACCCTCCCTGGACAGTAAAATGACCTGAAATCTAACCTCTCACTACCATGCCTTGGGGTGAGCAAGGGTCTTAGGAAACCAGCTTCTCACCGTTGAATGGCTAACGAACAGTTGGTGGAAGGATGGGGATAGACAAGCGTCCCCTATGCCCTCTCCCGCTTTCTCAAAGCTTTCCTTGTCAAGACTGACTTGGAGTAGCAGGGAATACCTTTCTGGTGAGGATGTAGAAGAGAGGGGGAAGTTTTTGTGTATGTGGCCATGAAATGGAATACTATACAAGTTAGCTAGGTATTTATATAGTTACCGTAATTTGGCCAAGCACTTTACATTTGTTGTTGTTGTTCCATCAGGACACTTTGTGACCCCATTTGGGGTTTTCTTAGCAAAGATACTGAAGAGGTTTGCCATTTCCTTCCCCTGCGTATTTTACGGATGAGGAAACTGAGGCAAACAGGGTTTGTGCCCAAGGTCACACAGCTAAGTATCTGAGGCAGAATTCGAACTCAAGACTTCTTGACTCAAGTCCAGCACTGTCTATTGTGTTTCATTGCTGAACTATAGGACAGTCTATACATTAAAATTAATCCAATTTGGCAGATATGTATTAAGCACCTACTATGTGTAGAATCCTGTAGCAGGCACTAAAGACAAAATAAAACAAAACCACGTCCTGTCCTCAAGGAGCTTACATTCTACATATGTGCACCTGTTGTTTTTCAACCACTGCAGATTATAGAATAATAGAATTAGAGCTGGAAGAAACCTTGCAAATCAAGGAGTCCAATCTCCTCACTTTAGAGATGAGGAAACTGAGACCTCAAAAGGTTAAGTGATTTGCTCAGTGTCACATATCGTATCATAACAAAACCAGGATTGCTAGTTATGTAACCTAGAATAGTCTAGTTACTCCGATTTCAAATGCTTCCTGCTTTCCAAAATACTGCAAAGCACTGTAAATTTAGTTATTTTCACCATTTTACAGATGGGGAAACTAAGGCAATAAAGGTTTAGAGGATTTGTTCAAGGTCCTATAATAAGTCAGTTGCTGAGCAAAGATGAAACCTAGGAGTGCTATATCCAGTTCTTTCCATCACAACCCCCAACACCTAATATCCGTTTAGGGAGTACATTTCATCCTCTAGATTAGAATTTCAGCAGCTGGTTTGTCTGTAAATAAGTAAAATATAATTATTTTTTTCCTTATAGACTTCTGTCTATTTCAGCAGTTTGTTTTTTTCCTTTACCTTATGGGTCCTCTGAGCTTCTGGCTCTCTGCTTTGTGGACTTTTTCTAGTAAAAACTCTTTTCTGCTTATGTCAAATAACTAATGAAGGATGTCACAACCTAATCTCCCAAACTGTTGGAATATACTTCCACACCAGGCCTGCCCCTGTAATGGAGTCAGACATCAGGCAATGTCTGTGGCTAGGCATTCCCTGTAATTTTATAAACCTATGTTCCAGCTGCCCCAGGCAGGGGTTTCAGCCTCACTGTCTTGTTCGATTGCTGTTTGCAAACGGTGGGGGATGCACATTGTCCTTTGATGTTTCCAAGAGAAATGTACAGTGACACATTAACAAGTAGGACTTAGAAAAATTGTCACAGCCCCATTACCCACGGAGATACAGTTGGGAGAGAACGGCTGGGGCCCACAAATTCCTGCTCTACAGCACAGCCAGGATGAAGCATGGATGCAAGAAGATCGTTGGGGGGTAGCATGGGGTGGAGGGGGTGGAGGAACTCAGGAGAGATGCCTAGAGCAAGATTAGTTATACTTTTGTTTTAGGGATCAAAATAGAAAAGGAGAAACCATCCATCCTAGTCAGAGTTGCCAAGACTACGCCCCAATTTGATGCCACTGAGAAGAGGGGGTTGTGAACTCCTTTTTATATTCTCATCTAGCCCCTAGTTCCTCTCATTCCCTTGCCAGCTTGTTTGAGAGCCCAAAGAGTGTTCTCACAAAAAAGAAGAGGACCTTGAATACGTCTTGCATACTTCTCACCCAATCTATTTCTTTTACCCCCAAACCCAACCTGAAACTCACCTCCAGAAAGTTGCCTGCTTAACTACGCTAACTGAAGGTTATTTTCCTCTCCATCCCCTCTGGACTTAAGAAGCAGCATGGCTTAGTGTAGCTGCTTTCAAACTTTCTGGTCTCAGGAATTAGGGTTAGGTCTCAGGACCTACTTTATACTGAAATAAATTGTGGACCTCCCAAGAATTTTTGCTTATGTGGGTTATATCTATCAATATTTTCCACATTAGACATCAAAACATCTTAATATTATTATGAAAATAGATTTTACCTTACAGAGAGTTTTGACCCTCCTAAAAGGGTTTAAGGAACCCTTGAGGATCCCCAGACTCCACTTTGAGAACTGGTGGCTTAGTAGGCCAAGGTCAGGATTTGGAGTTAGAAAAATCTGGCCTCAGCTCCTTCTTAGCTGGATGTCCTTGGACAAATCACTTTACTTCACTTTCCACATCTTTAAAATGGGAATGATAATAATAACATTAAAAGGAATAACTATGGTACATAGATAATACATCTATTGAGTGAGCATTATGTGCAAAGTACTACAGTTCAAGAGAACCAGGGAAGAGTAGAAAAAGTCAGGAGAATCAGACTGAATACAACCCAGGATTCAAGACTGCAATATTTACATAAGACTCTCCTCTTTGGTGGAGAGAATAGTGGCTCAGTGGTGTTTGAATGTGTGAGGGATGGTTTTGATGGCAGAGCTTGGGAGAGGAAAGATAGTCTTCCTTCTCTGAGAGACAACACAAAGAGAAGAGGAGAAGAAAGGAAAGAACAAGACAGGAGAGGAGAGAGGGGAGTGAAAAAGAGGACATGAGAGAAAAGGGGAGGAGAGGAGAAAGGAGGAGAGGGGAGAAGAAGAGAAGAGAAAGGAAAGTAGAAAAGGGGAGAGCAGGGGAGGGGAGAGGGAAGAGGGACAAAGACATAGAACAGAGAGACTTTGTTTCATAAGGTTGTTATGAGACCCAGATGAGACAATGTATGTAAGTTGCTTGGCAGAGTTTAAGGTACTATATAAAGTCTCAACTTGTCAATAGGTTGCTCTGTAAGTATTTTTAAGTCTTTCCTTCTTATGTGTGTTCTCCATATCTTCAAGTATCCAACAGTTCACTCTAAGAAGTACTTATTAAGTGCCTACTATTTGGGGAAAAAAAAGGCATTGTACCAGGTGATTGGAATTCAAATACAAAATTAAAAAAAAAAAAACAATCCCTGACCTCAAAAAGTTTACAATCTAATGGAAAATAATTCTTCTGAAAGCTCTCCCCAAGCACGGGCCATATCTCTCCTTGTTTCTGTCTCTCCCAGTGTGTCTCCTACTGGGCTGCGTGCATGTCGTTGGCACTCAGGACAGGGTCTTCACTGACCAAGAAGCACAGAGAGAATCCTGGAGGTGAAATTCCCCCAAGCTGAAAACTTAGACTTAAGCCTTCCTGAGTCCTCTGGACCTTTATAGTTTCTGTGCATCTTCTCCTTCTCCTTCCAGTGCCAAAATACTCTCCAACATACAAGACCAAACTCTGCTATAGTACAACAGAAATTGTACCCATTTTCCTGATGTGTAAACCTGCTCTGCTTGCTCTTTTCTTGGGATGAGGTACTAAAGTAGAGACAAGAGCAGTCATGGTCTGAGCCCCTAGAAATGTGCCTAATTTGAGGGATTCCTGGAGGGTGATGTACCTGCCCAGCTCTTGAGAAGGGGGTCCACTTGGCAGGTAGTCCTTAGCCTCTTAAAGCCCACACTCAAGCATTCTAAAGAACCCAAATTTGAAATCATCATTAAACCTAATTTTGTCTGTGTAGGCAAAATCAGGCAACATGCCAGGGGATATCAAACCATGGGTGACTGAAGGAGAGGTCAGTGGGCAAGTGGGGGATCCAGTTTGCCTTTTTTTTTTTAAAGAAGAAACCTGGCCTAACCACCTTTTTGATCAAGGTATGAGCCTGCCCTCCTCTCCCCAACCCTACCTTTCCCCACTTAGGAGCAGATGGCAAGAAGTCACCTGGACACATGAACTCTG